ATTCAATTTAGGCAAAAACAGGCTCATTTTTAAAAAAGCGAACGGGTTAGCTTAGCCGGTTTTAGCGACAGAAGGAAGTGGCGTCATTTCTTGTTGTGCAACACCATAAACCCTCCGCCCAGAAACGGCGTCAAAAAAGTATTTGACATGTTGTATTTCTTGCCATTTATAAATTTTTCTTACATTTTTTTTAGCGTAATCGATACACTAGCTTCACAGACATAGAATGGTGACGTTTTTGTTTTTAGAAATGTGTGTGTTTGACATATTTGTTGTAACCTTTCAGTACGACACATTTAGGTGTAACACCGCGACCTTAATGTTTAGGCGGAAGCTTAACGGAAGACATGTGGACATTATTTTAAATGTGTTGCGAGATTCAGATGATATTGGAGGTAAATGAATGAAAAAGGACCGCGTGGATCAAACACAGTGACTTCTCTTTAAGGTTTTCACGTCTTTTTTATTCACGATGTTACGGATCTTCACGTCCAGGTGCGGTCATTTCCTAACGAAGAGCAAATTAGTGACACCCCAGGGGGACATTAGCTCTTTCCTGTCACTTAACAGACTTTACACGCCATCCATCCAGGCTTCCAACTTCTGTGCTGGAAACCCTGCTGAAAAAGCAGGAAAAAAATCCAAAGAAACTGAAGCAGTGGATCTGGACAAATGGAAATCTGTGATGACATCCCAAGCGACGTTCCAGGTGCAGAGACTTGGTGATGAGGTGGAGCCAAGCGAGGCCGTCGACGACCAGAAACCGACGGGAGGAGATCCAAACGGTGGCTCCTCGTTGGAGGCGACTCGCCAACTGGTTTCGATGTGGCAACAAGCTGGGAAGTTGGTGCCTCAGCAGATAACCGACGAGGAGCTCCAGACCCTAGCCGGCCTCACCGCCAAGTCCTCCAAGAAGAAATACCTGAAGCACCTGGCCATCCGGGAGAAGTACAAACTGAAGGACAAGAGGAAGAAGCTGCAGAAGAAGGCAGCAAAAGAAGCCGCGTTGATGGAAAAGAGGCAAACGGAAGGTGGAGAGGAAAATATATACGGGGCCAAAGTGAAAAATACTATGTTCCTGCAGTTCTGGGACACGTCCCTGTTTCGACTGTATAACTGGAGGACCGCCAACGCCATGATGTTCGGGCAGCCGCTCGTCTTCGACATGAGCTACGACTCGTTCATGAACAGGAGGGATCTGGAGAACACGGTGAATCAGTTGCTGGAGGCGGAGGGGCTGAACCGGCGCTCCGTCGACCCCTTCCACCTCCACTACTGCAACCTGCAGCCGGACGGTCCGTACGAGCGCGAGCTGCGGCGGMRGTAYSSYGMYGAGAGCTGGGAGCGCTTGCTGATAACCAGCACCGAGCGGCAGCACGTCGACCTGTTCCCCAGGGAGCAGCTCGTCTACCTGACCCCCGACTCACCCAACGTCCTGCGCACCTTCGACACCTCCAAGGTCTACATCATCGGGGCTATGGTGGACCGCTCGGTGCAGACCGGCGTGTCGCTGGCCAACGCCAAGCGCCTGAAGCTCAACACGGCCCGCCTGCCGCTAGACGAGTTCCTCCACTGGAACATTGGGCACAAATCCCTGACTCTGAACCAGATGATCAGCATCATGCTCAGCATCAGGGACACCGGGAACTGGAAGGAGGCTCTGGAGTTTGTTCCGAAGAGGAAGTACTGCGGCTTCTACGTAGAGCAAACAGAAAGCAAAACCTTCAGGAGCCGACCTGATGAGAGGTCATTTAAAAACCAGGACGCGAATAAAGAGTTTGTTGGTAGGAAGAACATGGAGACGACCAGAGTACGCACTGCCTTTAAAACCAACATGGAGTCCAGAAGAAACAGGAAGTGGTGGCTGGATGATTGATCTGTACAAAATGTTTCTGATGTAAAATATTTCAAAATAAAAGTAAATTACCCTTAGTAAACAGTAGTGTACTTGAAGTTCATTTTAACCAGTATACTTGGGTATAAGTATATCAAGTATACTAGGTACCATGTACTTGTAGTGTACTAGAAAGTATACTGATTTAATACTTGTTTGTACTAAATAGGGACATTTTCCTGTTTTTAAAAAGTATACTTTATACTGTTGTCTTTTGGTTTATAAACTTAGAAAAGTGCTTACAAAAAGAAGTATACTTTAAGTACATGTCATTAAGTATACTAAAGTATATAAAAGTGTATTTCCCTAAGTGTACTTTTATTTACCACTGATAAAAGTGTACTAGTAGTTTAGTAACAAGTAAATTTCTAGGACTAAATTAACCCCCAATTAGTTTATGAAAGCATAGATGTATACTGAAAGTAATCTAAGTATGCTTTTAATTTAATCTTGAAATATACAACAAATAAAGCAGACTGTGGAAAAATGTAGTCAGTGTTTTGCAGAAATTTTTCTTGGCCAAACGTTTAAACATTATTATAGACTAATTATACTTACATCTTTAGTATACTTTCAGTATAGTCTTAAGATAAACTTGCTTAAGTATATCTCAGATAAGTACATAAAATGTAAACTAGAAGCATACACTTTTATTTTTAGTTTAAAATTAGTATACTTAATGGATAACTATAATACTAATAATAATCATTTTATTTGAAAAGCGCCTTTCAGGACACCCAAGACACTTACAGCATTAGGCACATCATGGAAGAATGTGTGAAAATACAGTTAGAGACAAGCTGGCATGAGTTACAGAGAACTGATTACAAATGAAGTTAAGATGGATATGCTAATCTAAAGAGATGTTTTCAAAGCAGTCTTGAACACAGGAAGAGAGGTGGTGTTTCTTAGGTCAGGTGGTACAGAGTTCCAGAGGAGAGGTGAAGGCCCTGCTCCCCATGGTGGAGAGGCGGGCAGTGGGTACTTGGAGCTTTAGGGAACAGGGTTGTATAAAGCAGTGGTTCCCAAACTTTTTATCTTCTGACCCACAAAATATCCATGGCGAAAACTTGTGACCCCAAATATTACTGGTCTGAGTACACGAACTTTGTTAATAACCCTAAAAACACAGGCTTTTTGACAATCTAAACAGCTTACACAAATATAAAAACTTATTTAAACTTTCTTTTGTGTCCTTTTGTAATAGTTATAGGGAAAATATTACATCAGCAATTATTTTATTACCCTTTAAATTTATTTCTGGAGATTATCCAAGGTGCTTCATGACTCATAATTGGGTCCCAAGCCCAACTTTGGGAACCAAAGTGCACTGGTTCCCAAACTGTTCAGCTTTTGACCCACAAA